AAAAATTTGGTCTACGTTACCAAAGATTCATTTAATACAGGTTCGGGAGTCGGTTACGTGTGGGGAAGGATAAACACCCCCACAACGCCCAAAATTGGTACTGTGTCGCTTACACATCGTCGTAAATGGTGGAAATTACAATTGGAATATGAAGGAAAAAATATGATCTATTTATTGAATATTTGTTAAAATAAAATAATAGAAATACTTCACTTGGTAAGAAATCTCAAGATTTGCAATCCTCCAACGGGAAAGCTATCTCATCTATTTCTTATCTATAAAGTATATCATATCTTTGAATTACCACTAAATAATATCGTCATGAGTAGAAAATACAATATGCTTAATTTATGTATCATTAATAGTAACATAACAACCATTAATACAATAAAAATTATGAGAATAATAAATAAATTATGATTTATTTATTGAAAATAAAAAAATCCTTTTCTCGATAAGAAATCTCGAGATTTGCAATCCTCCGCCGAGAAAGCTACCTCGTCTATTTCTTACTTGTAAAGAATATTTTCTCTTTAAATTAAAAGATAATGACGAAAATTGACATAAAATACATCATATTATACTTTTCCAAAACATACATCACTCATATTAAGATTCAATGAAGAAATAATAATAAAGATTAAAATTTAAATATTAAACAATATGACCATCAAATAAATTAATCAAAAGATAAAAACAATGAAAATAATTTCTATAAGCTTGTAAAAGGAAGAATTTGCATTTTTATTATTCTGTTTGAACGTCGTATCGGATTGTACCACTTCGATCAAGTGATACTTTCCACGCCCGTTCTATAAAATCAAATATAATGAAAATAAAATGCAATTGGAAATATAAACATTTACATTAAATTGAATTAAATACATTACTTACATAATACAAATAACCATAGAATATGTAAAAATACATTCATACATAAATAACTAAAATAAAACTAAGTTAACATTTCAAACCAAAATACAAACCAAATAAGCACATATGATAATTTCAGGGACCAAAATACAAATACAGAAATTTAAAGGGCTACAATCGAAGAAACAAGAGTTAAATAACTAAACTGAAAATACACAAAGACATGAAGGATAAAAGAAATATTTAAACCAAATGCCAAAACAGTGACTAAAACAGAAGATGCATAAATCTGAGGGCCAAATTCGAACTTTAATAAAAATGTAATAATAAACAGATAAGGACTAAAATATAATGAACGTAAAATAAATAGACATTAATCGAAATTTAACCCAAAATATGATAATAGTGATCAAAATAAAAGTTTCATAAATAAAGGGTATAATGTCTAAACTTTCTGAAATATTAACAATAACCAGTCCAGTGACCAAAATGAAGAAAAACATAAATTACATGTCCAAATTCGAAGATTATAAAACCTACATAATATATAGACTAGTGATGTAAACAAAACAAAATAAAACTATAGGCTCGAAATAAGATTGCATGGACTTCCTTTAGTGACCAGATTACACCCTTACAGAAGCTTGGGGGGACCTAAACCGTTGTTTACCCATAAATGCTAAGGACACGCGTGCAAGATTACAGAGGTAAGAGGACCAAATGGGCTATTAGCCCTTAATCCCATCACTCGGCCTCACTGCTTCAAAACGACGCCGTTCGTCGTCTGAAATATAACCCTTTTAAGGGTTATTCTGAAACCCTAAAATCATATACTCTCCCTCTCAGCCGTTTCACTCTTTCTTCTCTCCCTCTCATTTCCTCAGCCGATCTCCCTCTCTCCTTCTCATTACAGAGAGCCGAAAAGGCTCTCAAGCTTCTCCTTCTCAACCCCTTTTTCCAGCAAACAGAGAACCCAAAACTCCCCGGCCACCGTGGATCGGTGGCCATGGGGAGTAAACTCATCTCTCTCTCCCCTAAAAACCTAAGCGACTCAACACCCTAAAACCCACCTCATTCCAACCCTAACCAACCTAGAAGAGGAGAAGGCTTTACCTTCAGATACGGGGCTAGCCGAGATCGGAGAAGGTCACAACGAGGTTCACGGTGGTGGTTCGAGGAAGAGGTAAAACTTTCTCTCTTCTCTTTTTTTTTTTATTTTTCTGTTTCGATTTTTCTCTTCGTCCCCTCTGGTATATTTTTGTTTCCTTTTTGCTTTCTTTATATTCAGTATCTGGTGAGATGATGATATCTAGAAAAAATAGGATATGGGTCTTACTGTCTTTGCATGATTACCTCCCGATTTTTCGGGATTTAATCTGTTTTTTAAATGGATTCTAGGATTTAGGCTACTGTTTTTACAAGAACCGGTTACTGTTCATGCAGGAGAACAGTCGGCGGCGACGGGACACCTCGGCTTGGTGGCTCGGTGATTGGCTCACGGTTGCTCACGCGGCTCAGGCATGACTGGTGAAGATCAACGTGCGGCTGAGGGATTGGACTCTGGCTTGAGCGGCGGCTGTGCAGTTGGGGATTAGGGTTTGAAACCCTAAACTGATTTAGGGTTTGAAACCCTAAACTGATTTAGGGTTTGAAACCCTAAACTGATTTTAGGGTTTGAAACCCTAAACTGATTTAGGGTTTGAAACCCTAATCTGATTTAGGGTTTGAAACCCTAATCTGATTTAGGGTTTGAAACCCTAATCTGGTGGGTTGTTGGGCTCCGGGATTGGGCCAATTGTAATCTGAATTGGGCTTCTAAGCCTACAAAAAATGTAATATGTAAAATAATTAATAATAATAATTAATAATAATAAAATAAAATAAATAAAAAAAATAAAATAAAAAAAATAAATATAAAAGACCCGGACAAAAACGGGTGTCTACACAATGGTATAACAGATTTTGATTGGTTCAGTTCATTGCTTTTAAAAGATTGTTCGAATAAGTTGCTGTATTTTCACTTGTTAAGAGGGGATGCTTGGATGTTTGATCGTTGCTATCATCTTTTGAGCTGACTATTGATGACAAACTCTGAACACATGGATTGGAATCTTCTTTACTGTTTGAATCCTCTATCTCTTTGTTTTTTTACTTTGGTTTTGGATATTAACAAATCAACAATTTTCTCAGATAGTACTTTATCTTTGTTTTAGAAAGCAAAATTGTTTCAGTGCCATAGTGATATTATTTCGACACCTGTTTGGTTTACGGTCTATTATTGGGATTGCCAAGAAATGAGGAGAGATTGGAGAACTGTGTTTATATTGATTTACCTATGAAGCCAATAGTTTTGTATATATTGGAAGTGGTATTTCAACAGATGGTCTGGTTGTTTTCGGTGCATTTTCAGGTTCCTATAGCTCCCTTACCAAGTATGGGTGGCCATTCCTTTTTCAGCCAAATTTGGCGGCATGATTCTCCTGGTGTTGCTGATAGTCCATCTGAGAAAGGAATCCCTGTAATCATTACATGGATTTATGGTGGTAATAATGTGGCTGTGGAAGGTTCTTGGGACAATTGGAAATCAAGGTAGGTCTTAAATTCCTTAGTATTACAGGCACACATTTTCATGCATACAAAATCCTGCTGTTCCTCTTTCCGTCTGCAATCCAAGCATGGATGGCATATAACGAAGTCTATTATCGTCCTATTCCAGGAAGACACTGCGGATATCTGGTAAAGACCACTCAATTCTTTTGGTCCTTCCATCTGGCATATACCATTACAAATTTATTGTTGATGGCGAATGGAGATATGCACCTGATTTGCCCTTTTCAGCTGATGAAATGGGCCACATTTGCAATCTTCTTGATGTTCATGTATGTATCTTCTTAAATGTCCCGCTCCATTTTTGAATCTTTTAACTTTTAATTTTTTCTACCCCATGTGATGATGATTTTGTGGGCTGGTGTAGTATGAGTGGTTGACATGCAAAACTGATAAATTACAAATTTAACATATGCTGTTGTGTATTTTTTTTTAAAAAAAAGAGGGTTTCGGGTATGTTATATCAAGCACACAATGATGAACATGAAAGATATGTGTCACGTTGGTCCTTTCACATTTAAAGCTTCTCATTAATTGGTTTTATGAATTTACCTTTTTTTTCTTTGGCTATAATTAAGATCTCAGTGATGCTTGTTGTGACCATTTTTTTCCATCTTCGTTTACTTGTTTACTTCTCACTGTTTATTGCAGGACTATGTGCCCGAAAATCTGGATAGTGTAACTGAGTTTGAGGCTCCGGGATCTCCAAATTCCAGTTATGGTCAGGCATTTCCAAAGGAGGAAGATTTTGCAAAGGAGCCTGCTGTAGTTCCATCCCAACTACATCTAACGGTCCTCGGTCACGATAACCAAGAGATAGCATCATCCTTGAAGCCTCAACATGTTGTACTTAACCACCTTTTCATCGAGAAAGGATGGACATCGCAATCCGTTGTTGCCCTGGGTTTGACCCATAGGTTCGAGTCCAAATACATAACTGTTGTACTCTATAAGCCACTCGAAAGGTAACAGGTAATTCTCCCAAGCTTCAATCTGTAAAGAAACCAAAGTAACTTTTTGCTTGTGAAGAAAGGTGCCTATATTCTATTGATCTGCTTTGACACTTCAACTTGCCCTTTGTTTTGTTGTACACTTTTTGGTGCAAAGTATGTCTCAACCCGAAAAATAAAAGATCGGGTTACAGACGTTGAGATTTGAATTTCAGTATATAATAATTTAAATTCGTCTGCATGAATCGTCCTGGTTAAGCTCTGGTTATGGTTGTTGTACTTTCAACATTTGTTACCATAAAATGTTTCATATTACTAGCAGCTTGAAAGCAAGTTGCTTATGCAATTTTTGCTTAATTTGTGCATCTTTAGGGCATTCGGTTGATATGTAAAACCAATTAAGTGGGGTTTTATTGTACTGCCCTTTGATCCAAGCTCAACCACTTAAACAAAAGGTTGACCCGGAAATTGGAAGTAAAATTGGTATCTATAGGATAAATTATTTAATTCTATATAAAGGTTTTTAGAGTAATCACACAGCATGAGAAAGATATTAAAACATGGCTTAAAACATAATTATGAAAAAAAAACTTGAATATGATTTATGAACTAAATTAAATACATTTGTAACCAATTCACATTTGGATGACCGTATATGTGAATTTTCTCTTCTGGGAGCTTTCTTGTTTCTGGCTATTGTGTCACCTCCTCAAGCGAAGTTTCTGCCCGTCACCGTGGTGACTATGGCGGAGAAAATGTCTGAAGAAAATAGCAAGAGAAACAAACGGGTTAGGCCTGATAGAGATGAAGCAGATCAAGATGAAGAAATTAGACCGAGATCTTGGAGAGATACAGTTGTAGACTCACCTATTTTTTTCTGGAATCTTTCAAAACTCCAAAAAAATAGAGGAGGAAGTAGATTCTGATGAAAAAAATGAGATGGAAGAAGATGAAATTCCCACAATCAAGACACCTACAGAAACAAAAAGAAAGGATTAGAAAACCTTGGAGGAAAGCTTTAACCATAAAGCTTCTGGGCAGATTGGTAGCCTACAAAACACTAATCAGTAGAATAACTTCCATGTGGAAACTAGAAGGTGATTTTGATTGCATCGATCTTGGCAGTGGGTTCTACGTTGTTAAGCTTCAAAACATGAATGACAGGCTGAAAGTCCTGACGGAGGGTCCGTGAAAGATAATGGACCATTACTTAAAGGTCCAAAAATGGCGTCCACATTTCTTAACCAATAGTGCCAGGATTCAGTCTACTGCCATTTGGGTTCACATTCCGGGTCTCCCAATGGAATACTTTGATGAGGGTATATTGGTTAACATCGGGAAAATGATAGGCACTTCGATAAAGATCAACTATAGAACAACTTGGTCAACAAGAGGAAAATTTGATAGAATATGCGTGGAGGTCGATTTAAGCAAACTGTTACTTTCCAAGATCCGTATTGGTAACACTATCTTTAGTATCGAATACGAAGGTGTTCTTTTGGTCTACTTTAATTGCGGAATGGTGGGACACAGAACAACACTGTGCATACTAAAAAGTCAAGAAAATGTCGAAGCTGAATGCCAAACAGATGACAAATTAAACTCGGAGAATGAATTGACTCAACCTAATCAAGAAAGGGAGGATGTCCAGGAAGACCCACACCTCAAAATAAGGAACCTGAAAAAAGATCTGAAGCCGAAAGTGAAAAATTTAGGCTATGGATGCTAGTCCAGAGAAGGCAACGTTTTAATCATGGTAATCCTAAAAATCAGGATGAAAAGAGAAAGGGGAATCAGGATGGCAACAGATTTCAGGTGTTTGGGAATGAAGAAGAAACGGAGGGAATAGATGTTGTAAATCAAGCTGTCTTAAGGAAACAAAACCCAGGGAAATCTCAGTCAAACAAGCTTCGTGAGGAAATCAAAAGAGACAAAGGGACTAAAATAAAAATAAAAATAAAAAAGAGAAGAGTTTGGGGAAACTCCCACTACAATCAGAACAAAGAGATAGCCAACCCAGCAAAACGAATAATGACAAGTTCAAAAAAGAGTGTTTCAATTAGAAGAAATATACCAGAAGACCAAACCGCTTCAACAGAAGGTACTTCAAAAGAGTTTTCTTGCACGGAGGAAATGAGAGTGAACCCTGTGGAAACTCGTGTAAAAAATAATACTATTCACATTACTGAAGTGACCGAATTACATAGAACGGATCAGGTTATAATGGGCAACACTGTCAATTTAGAGGAATACAACTCTATTGATAAGGGTAACGCGACCAGAATAGATTATTCCTTATGAAAGCGATATCTTGGAACTGTAGAGGGGCAGGAAACCTAAATTTATAAGGAATGTCTTCGATTTGGTGAGAGAAGAACTGTGCCTCCTTGAAACAAAGTCTGACGCTGGTATGTTCAATAAAATTTGCAAAAGGCTAAAATTCAATTAGTTTTTCGAAGGCCCTGCTAATGGGTTCAAAGGTGGTCTTATTTTAATATGGAATTCTAGTCTTATGGACGTTACGGTGAGTTATAGTACTGACCAGGCTATCCATTGTGACCTTAAATAGGACGATAAAACTTGGCTGCTGAGTTTTGTCTACATCCAACCTTACTCAAGGAAAAGGGAAGATTGTTGGGAGGATCTGAGTAACTACTCTCATACCATGGACAAACCCTGGGTTGTCATAGGTGATTTTAACAATATTGCTTCTCTCGATGAAAGAGAAGGAAGTCAATCTAACCGTGTGATCAAATTATGAAATTCATAAATATTGGAATTGATGCAATCTTACGGACGCGGGTTGGGTTGGAAATAAATTCACTTGGGTGAGAATTAGACATTGAAATACTATTCTTCAAGAAAGATTGGACAGAACTCTACACAATGCCAAAGCTATTGACCTCTTTCCTAATATGCATTCATTCACTCTTAGGAGACGCTACTCAGACCACCATCCGATTCTCCTAAACACCAATATGGTTTACCCGATGGACAAGGAAAGGAGACCCTTTAGATTTGAAGCCATGTGGCTTTCACATGCAGATTTCAAAGATGTGTTCAATAGAGCCTGGAATGGAAAAAGAACTTCCCTCCCGGAAACTATAAAGGAAACGAAAAAAGTTCTGATTTGAAAAAAGGATTTTTTAAAAAATCTTCAAACGAAAGAGAAGGAATTCAAAATTCCCCAAATTACTTTCATTCGACTCGCCTACAGAGGATTGAAAAAGAGCTGATGGAAGAATAACTGAAAGCTTTAACCCAAGAGGAAATTTTTTGGCTTCAAAAGTGTAGATTGTGTTGGATTTTAAAGGGAGAGACAAATACAAAAAATTTCCATATCACGACAAAGATCAGACGAAAAAACAACATAATCTCGGGACTCTATATGGGTGATTCGTGGATTATTGATAAAGCAACTCTTGAGAGACATGTAGTTGATTATTATAAAAATCTCTTCGTTAGAAAAGATGGGGAAGAATTGCAAAAGGAGTATAATAAGTTCCTGCCCAAAATTTCCAGCATAGTAGAAAACGACCTCTCCAAAGAGGTGACGTTGAAAGAAGTAAAGAAGGCTCCTTTTAACATGAAGAATCTAAAAGCTTCAGGACCAGATGGGATACAACCTATTTTCTACGAAAGACATTAGGAAACTGTCAAAGACACTTCTTCTGTTCATAAGGAATTCCATGGCCACGAAGAGAGTTGAAGATTGTATCTTTAAAGTAAATTTGGCTCTTATTCCAAAAACTAATAATGCTAATAGGATTACTCTTTTCCGTCCCATTAGTCTGTTTAAAACTTCTTACAAAATTCAATTGTTTTGTGTTTTAATTTGGTTAGATTGTTTAGGTATACAAAATTGAGAGGATATTATAGGTATAAAATTGTAGACACCATCTTTCGTCCCTATATAAATAATTATATGATTATATTATATATATTATATAATTTATATGTTATTTATATATTTTTTCTCTTTTTATTTTACAGGCCCAAATAAAAATAAAATCCATTACAAAACCAAACCTAAGTACAACAATGATCCAACAAAAGCCAAAACACGCAGCTCATAACCCGTTGGAACGAAACCCAGTCCAGGACCCGAACCGACCAATCTTCTACCGGATACAAACTAGGGTTTTCCAACCCCAACTCCAGCTTCCATCAGCGCCGTATCACTCACCCAGCAGCCGCCTCAACTGCCTGGTTAAGCCACGTCCGAGTTATCTGTCGATTCTCTCGGCACCAACACCCACAAAGCAACAAACAATAGATTTAGAGTTTCACTCGGGATCAAACTCCCTGAAATAGGGCTTCATAAATGCTATAAATACATGTACAAGATTACATTCGAAATACACTCGAATATTGCACTAAAAATCACACAAAATACAAGAGAACTGTAAGAGCATTCGAAGCATTTTTCGAAAAGAAATACAAGGTAAAAATCTTACCTTTTCGTCGTTTGTTGCTTGCATGTGACCCGGTGTTGTTTTATTTTCTTCGTTTCGAAACGCAGATGAGAAATGGGGGAAAGTTTCGAAAGATCTTTTCTAGATCTACTCTCCCAAGAGGTGTTTTTGAGAAATTGTTCGGATTTTCAGATTGTGGGTGGAAAATGCTTTTTAAAAATGTAATTTTTTGTGGGCCAACGTCGATGAGTGGTGGCCGGCGAGTCGGTGGCCACCGATTTCTGGAAACACCACGATCGTGTTCTTCCTTGAGGGAATAACACTTGAGAGAAAAGCTTTGAATGGGGGGTTTATGTTTTAAAATGAAAAAAATGAAATTTTTTAGGCCAAAGTTTGACCTTTATATCGACCCGTGACCCGACCCATAGATATACTAGATCCACGTGTTTTTAAAAGGGGAAATCTTGTTTTTAGTCCCTCGTTTTCTTTTGGGATCTCATTCTGCCCCTAAATCAATTTTAATTTCCAATTGCTTCGAAATTTACCCCTTGATTTGTTTTTTCTTTCGATTCGGTCCTTTTACGATTATTTTTTATTATTGTTTATTTTATTTTTATTGTTTATTTTATTTCTTATTTTTTTCTCTAATATTTTATTTATATGTTTATATATATATATATTACTTTTCTTATTTGTTTTTACCTAGTATTTTATATATATATTTATTATTGTTTTATTATTATTTTTACTTGTTTTATTAGACATTAAATTATATATATATATATATTATTTTTTTCTTTATTTTCTTTTACCTTGTTTGTTTAATTTTTGTTTTTGTTTTTTTATTTTATTTAATTCCATTTTTTCTTTTCTTTTTCTTTTTATTTATGTTACCATTTTATTTTAATTTATTTATTTTTATTCTTAGTTATTTTATTATTTTTTTTATTTTGTTCATTATTTTTAATATTTACATTCTTTCTATCTTAATTCGATTTTGTACTTTACTACATTTCTATCTTTTTAAGGATACACTTTAAAAACCGATTGGAGGTAAGTAATCAGGATAAACTGTTACCTTTTAATTTAACTTTCAATTTTCTTAATTAAAGACAACTGAAAATTAATTAGTACCGAAAGGGCATTTCAAGGATGCTAACCCTTCCTTGACTATAACCGACTCCCGAATCCTACACATCTTTTGTAAAACGCATATCAAGTAAGATGGTATCCGATCAACCTAATTTTTGTCGAAAAATAAATAATTGATGGTGACTCTAACGTTTTTTAAGTCAAAGACCAATTTCGGGCCCACCCGAAAGACAGTCGCGATAGTTTAGCGACTCTGCTGGGGAAGTTGGTAAGTGAGTCAGACTAAGGTAATTTCCAGTTGTATTTTTAATGAAAATGGTAAGTTTAAATTATAAGGTAACTTTTCGATCCTTATTACTTACTTTTGATTATTTTTTTCAAATAAATAGTTGTACTGACAGTTTTTAAGTAGGGGTGAAAGTGGCACTCTCATGAGAATTTATTCTCCGTATGGGCATAGCAAGTAACCTTCGGGATTCATATACCTTATGCCTTCTTGTGAATTTATTCATCGTATGGGCATAAGGGAATGTTTCCTCTTGAGTTTAACTTAGTCCACATAAGCTTAAAATGGACTTAGGACTAAGGGTCTGGCAAGCTCAAGGGGGCACCAACAAGGAGAACTCGGGTACCTTTTTTAGAACCTAAACCGGAAGACTATGAAGAATTAGAGCCTACACCAAAACCCCATTTCAAAACCTAGGATATTTTTTTACCCTAACCATGCAGTTTGCTTTTCTTTCTACCTTTTTACTTTCATTATTATTATTCTTATTTTACTAACTTTTTGCTTTCGTGTTTGTCATTTTTAGCATTTGCATCATAAAAAGAGTCTATTGATCCCTAAAAAGGTATTTATTACACACAAATAATCTGAATTAATGGACAAAAGGGTTGTAATGCAAGAGATAAAAAACATTGAGGTACAACTATGGTCCGAGAAGACTCAGAAAGAGAAGGGAGACAATCTTCAGGGAAGCTATGTGTCAGAACTGGTTAGCTATGCCTCTGTCAGCCTAAAGCAGAACGATGTCCAAGAGCTACGGAACATTTGGGACAGTTGGAAGAGTGACCGGAAACAAAAGTTCAGCCAACGGTACGGTGATATTGCACTCTTGTTTTATGTAAAGACTGATGAGCCCTTAATCAGAGCATTGGTTCAATTCTGGAACACGGGGTACATCTGCTTCATCTTTAACCGAGAGGACATAGTGCCCACGATCGAAGAGTATACTACACTACTACACTGTGAAAACATTATATTAGAGCGAGCCTATATCAAGCATATCAAAAGTCAGCCTTTCAAAAACGGGTTGGAAAAAGTTACAGGAGTAGACGAGAAATGGGTAACTGACCGGACTCAACGCAGAGGCACCGGGGAAGGAATTTTTTGGTATGATATCAAGCAACTGATGAAGAATA